AATTGTAGACCTTTGAGATAGCTTCCCAATGCAACTCGAATCACCTCAATCAATGAGAGAGAAAGTCATGACCAAAATACTGAATGCTGTCCCGTGGGAAAATGATTGAGCTCTGCGGTCGCAAAGTTCAAAATCAATGTGACCGCTAGGGAACTTCAGAGCTAAAAATCATTGTTCTATGTGACTGAAAAAACTTATAACTATGCGACCTAGAGTAGCCCCCAAATTACTTTTCTCTCTTTTGTGCTCTAAAATTGAAATGTCTAGCTAATTTTCTTACTTGATCGAAGGAGACGAAAGCCTTCGAACAATTAACTTCGAGATCCACCTGGTTTTTTTATTGTTTGATTCATATACTTTTAGTATTAAATATTCTTCTGCACTTATTTTTATGATTGTTGAGTTTAATTGCTAGGGTGCGCACTAGTTTGTTATTTTCTACAATCTATAGCTAAGTTAAACTTTAAATCCGTAATTATTTGATTGATTTAACTTGTGACGCAATTAGGATTAGTAATTTGCTGCTTTGGTAAGTATTAAATCTTAGGAAGAATATTTATCTAGGCTAAATGCAACCGCGTGTGCTTATATTATCTAGTTCATTGATTTCTCTAGTTCATAAAGCGGTTATTGAATTAAATCTTCGCGCTTGTCTGGGATTGTTTGATAACTAGGATTAATTAGATAGCTTGTTTTTAATTAATTAAAACTAAAAAGAAATAGGAAATTGTTTCTAATGAGAAATTATTTTTCACAACGAATGCTAAAATTATGATGATTATTTGTGGATCAATGGTAGGTTATGAATTTTCAATAGTAGATGTTGACTTAGATCAAGGTTTGTTATATTGATTTCATTTAATTCATTGAATTGCATTGCTATTAGTTATTTTTATTGATAATTAATTGTTTCAAAACCAAAACCTCCATTTTTTAGTTAATATTGCATAAAAGATAAACTAAACACTCTTCGTGGGATCGACTCTTACTTTCACTTCTACATTAATTTTAAGAAATATAGGTTTTAATTTAGAGTGCATACGACAACAAGCACCACAAAACCTTGCCTTCAAAAGAAACTCATTGATGGTGACGCAACCTTGCCTAAGAAAACAGGCTTGCTCACCAAAAGAGGGGGCTAGAAGTTTAATGTTGTAAGAGATGCAATATTTTTCTCTCAAGCTGACAGATGGGACGCATTTACGATGGATGGGATTTTGGCAGCCCCCAACCCACCTCCTCACTTACCCTCCCCATCCATTAGAAGTAAAACACTTTGCCCAGCCCTTATGGCTCTAATAAGGTAAGTTGTATTTATCAGGGTAATCCCTATATCAGAGCTACCTGACTAATTTCTAAATCTCCCTAGAAGGTGAAGATGCCATTAGACCTACAATTACAAAAGTTTTGGATACTTACTAGATTAGATGAAAAGACACCGGACGAAAGTAACTGGAAATTGCGAAAAAGAGTTGAAGAAGATCGAACGAACAAAGAGAACTTGAATTCAGTGACTACAAGAATGGGAATAAGCCCCTCTTTAACCGAAGCACTCTTCATCCGTAGTTCTTTGTCGAAAAACTCTCTCTTTGTTAAAGCACTTTCTATTCTGATCGGACCTCTGCACATTCGAAGCTCTCCTCTAAAATCGGGGCGCTTGCTGCCTTTAAAGCGGATCTGAAGAGTATATGTAAGAATGATTGATGTAACGTTGGTATTAATAAATGTCAAAAATGTCAGCCTAGAGTGTAGGATAACTGACGTCTTGTCAATGTAATTAATTGATGGTAGAAAGTGGTGAGAGGCTCTGGTTGATGGGATGAGGTCATGTGATTCTTATCTAATGGTGACCATGTCGGCCTAACCCAATAAATAGCAACTTTTGAAACATGTTAAGGATGGAAAAAGTATATAAAAATTTCATATAGTTGACATTATAATTCTCTTTTGCTCATCTCTTCATGTTTGAGTTTGGATTCGTTTTATTTTGAGAGTTGTTAGTGATTGATCTTTGATTTTACAATTACACTTGATCATATTATTGGTGCTTGAACATTTTCGTCTGTACCGTAGAGCATCTCTTACTTCCATTATCACTGTGATTTTATGATGGTATTTCGGTCAAAACGTGCCGAAATTTGCTTGCGTGTACATGAATGAACTAGGCATCTATTGTCCATATGGCCATTACGGAAAATTGGGTCAACATTTTTCATAAAAAAATATCAATCAAACACCCTAAAATTAGGAATCTTGATGAAAAATGATATTTTTCATAAAAATAGAGTCAATAGAATACGCCATATCTTTCATCGAATTGATCATTTAGCATCAACTAAATTGATGTTATAGTATCAATAGTTCTAGGTAGCATTATTCTAAAAAATAATATTTAACTTTTCCATTTATAAGTTATGACATATTTGAAAGTTCGTAGTTTTTCATTTTTCTAAACAAGTTGTTAATCTTGCATTTAGAACTGGGTCCATATTTGACAATTAATTTTTTCAAATTCTTTATCCTACACTCATTTTTAAAACAAATTTATACAGTAAAATATTTTATACGTAAATTCAAAATTTTTCTATACTTTTTAATTACACATTCTCCTAAAAGACTTATTCAAAATATTATTTTTTTTGAAAATAATGGCCAACAGACACGCTTAAATTTTGAAAATTCAAGTTATTGCATTTTGGGGGATTAACACCACATTTTTTTCTACAAATACTTGCATGAAAAGTCATTAATTTTTATTTGTTTTCGCACTTGTATCCTTAACATTTTTTCTTCATCATATTTTATTTTAACATTTTATTGATTAGGAAATCTTTTTTTTTTATGATGTGTTTGAATCCTATTTTTTGTTGAAAATAAGTTTTATAATAGTGAATTTTTAGAGAATGTGTGTTAAAAAGTAGGAAAAAAGTTTAGTTTATGTGCAAATTATTTTATAATAAATAATAATTTATATATAGATGAGCGTCAAAAAGAGGGGAGGAGCGTTCTTTTTTTCTTTTTTCTTTTTTTTTTGAAGAAATTTTGACCAAAACATATCTCATCACATCATATGTATATAAATTATTATGTAAACTATTATGTACATGTAGCACAATCGAATATATATAGTTGAAAATAAATTTAAGAAAAGAATTGAGTTTTTAGATAGTAGGGATCAAGCAGAAGCTTACTAATGATTTTCATCTAAAAAGATTGTTAACGTACTTTAAAATGATGGCTAAATATTTAATGGTAATTTTGTATTATTATTTGTTTTGTTTATTCAAAAATACAATGAACCAATAATTCTTTTTACTCTATGTTAAAGAAAATTTTGGAGAGAAACCATAATCAGAAAACAATTTATTAACATTTGAGAATTAAAATGTGATAAAAAAGTTGACATAAATGTAATAATGTGTAAATATTATGAACCTTTTATATAATTAAAATATAATTCAATTAACTTAAATTCCGATGTAAATATAATTAGTCTTACATTTTCTATCCATCCTTCACATTATTAATATTTGATCATTGATATTGTACGTGTCTCTATTAATGGTAATTTTGTATTATTATTTGTTTTGTTTATTCAAAAATACAATGAACCAATAATTCTTTTTACTCTATGTTAAAGAATATTTTGGAGAGAAACCATAATCAGAAAATAATTTATGTTAATTTGAGAATTAAAATGTGATAAAAAAGTTGACATAAATGTAATAATGTGTAAATATTATGAACCTTTTATATAATTAAAATATAATTCAATTAACTTAAATTGCGATGTAAATATAATTAGTCTTACATTTTCTATCCATCCTTCACATTATTAATATTTGATAATTGATATTGTACGTGTCTCTGAATAAAAAGAACCTCTTACTTATAAAGTAATGCCTAAACGTAACACCTAATACTCCCTTCCTTTCAGCGTATTGGTAGTAAATGCCATATACTCGGCTGCGAAAATAAAGTCATTACGGGCTAAGACTAGTGAACTTCTTCTACAAGGAATTACTATGTGTTCAAACTAATATGATATTATCGAGTCGAACATTGATAATATTTTAATGTATGTACATACATTTTCAATCCAATAAAAATCGTTTCAAACTAAGGTTCTGTTTGAGCTGCGTTATTTTGAAAAAATAAATAAATAAATAAATAAATTTAAACAGTGATTTGATATTATTTCAATATCACATTCTTCAATAATATAATATTACACGTAAATCCAAAATTTTTTTTTATCTTTTAACTGCACATTCTCCATCTATTTATTATTCCAAAATACATTATTCAATATGTGGCTCAAACACACACTAACTAACAAAGAAAATTTTGAATAAAGAATGTTGCTGGAGTTGCATTTACAGGGCTAGCATGTATACTTATCACCATCAATCAACAATGATTGGTGTTCGTGATTTCAACAAGTATACAGATCGTAACAAGTAATACGGTGAATTTATGAAGTCCAAATATCCTCACGGATTATACTATCGATTATTAATTTTTAAACCAACCTAGCTTCAATTTAAGTAAAATGGTAACCAATTATCAAATCAAATTGTGATTTGTAGACAAAATATACTAAATTAAATTACAATATCAAATAAGATGATTGAGAAGATTATAAGACTAGGTAATTAGGATTTTCGATTTTACTTAGGTTTTTTATATTCATCTAGTTTCAATTCATTTAGCCCCTTTTTATATGTGCCAACAATAATATAGCTAGTGATCTCTATCGAGCAATACTAATCCTCTTCATACGCCCGAGTATCTCTATATAAATTCACTAACATATGAATGCAAGAATTCAATAAGGATCGCATAGCCTATAATTATCTCTTGATATCTTATAATACCTATGTTATTTATTGCACAAGTAAGAATCATACATCGCCTCTCAGTCTCTGTACTAGTTCTAAATCATTCAATTGTTGCGCGAGCAATCGAAGCATTAAAACATAATAAATAATTAACACGTATTGAAGTTGCATTAAGTCTTGAAATTAAACAATATATTAAAACCCTAAGCTACATCTTCATCCTAACATAAAAAGTATTTAGCCACTCATAATGTCTGAATTAAACAAATATAAGTCAAAAGACATCATCGGATTTAATTACAATCAACAAGATAAAATTAATCCATGCTATCTTTGATGTTCGCCATACGAATACCAACAATTGCCCTTCGTTTTTCTTTCTTGCGTAGTGTAAATCTCCCGACAAATTATGACTGAACATGATTAATTCCACAATTCTTGCACAAAATCTTGATGAATTTTTGTACAAAAACTGGAATTACTTTCTTCCCTTGTTGCTGCTGCTGTCCGTCCGTCCTTTGTGCGTGTATATCCAGTTTCAATTTCTTCCCAGCTTTCCAAAACCAATTAGAATTCTAATTGTTGTCTTCTATCCACTTTCTGCCACAGCTTCCTCGTGCCAATAGGAGTCATTTCCCATAGGAAGTTCATTCCCACCCACTAATCCAATGCCCAATTTAATTCTAATTAAACTCAAGTCCTTCAATTTCTAATATCGTGGTAGTTGATCCCAAAATTGTATGCTTTATCCATATTTCCTCCTCGATCTGATCTTGAGTTTTCTCCTAAAATAATCAACAAATACAAATAATCAAGTGTCAAAGCCAAAATAATACTAACAAAAGCAACTTTCGGTGATTTAAATAAGTTTAACGGTTATCAAGTGGTTTCTTCAGAAGAAAGAGACCAGGACTCATCTTTCTCAAAAAGTTGAACAGTTCATTGTAAAACCAATTATTTTGTGGCCCATAATATTAAAGAATTGATTGAAGGTGATTAATATTACTAAAATCCTATTAGCTTTTATAACTGTCAACTTTGATGGAAAGTGGGGAGTTTCTCTCTTCCTATAAATATGAATGAAACTCATCAATTAATTCATTCAATTACAGAGAGGAAAAGTGAGAGAACGATTTCTTTAATTTAACAATTTCTTTTTGCAGATTTAATTACTCAATTATTGTCATGGATTAATGTATGTTTCTTGATCAATTAATTTATATATGAAAATCATGAATTCTAAAGACCTTGACATTAGGGTTTAATTACTTACATGTGGTATCAGAGCTATATTAAAGAATTCTTGATTTTCCTTTAATGATTAATGTTTACCACTAGTTGATCCTTAATTATTTCTTATAAATTTATAGATCAAACTTCTGTTGAAATTAATGAAGCTAATTATTGTCGAAAATTCACAACTGCAGTTTCTTGTTTCGTGGAATTAATCATAGTTATAGTTGGTTAGTGCACAGCCATTAAATGTTTATTTATTTCTGGACTCTTTATTTTCTTATTAATCACTGCAAATAATTGGAATACATTAATTCGTTTCAGGCGTCATGGATCCAGAATACGGCATTATTGTTATTGTGTGTTTTGGGTTATTAAATAAGGTTTGGTGAATTTGACCAAAGGATGTCGCCCTGTTCACATAATCATCTGCCGTTGTGCTAACAGTCAAATAATGGGTTTATTATGTATTTTGATATTAGTTGATGACCTGTAATACGTGAATAAACAGGATAATAATTAAAAATATTAAATGATAAATATTATGTTTATGTAATTAATGTTCAAGGGCTAATTATTGTGTGTTTTGGGTTATTAAATAAGGTTTGGTGAATTTGACCAAAGGATGTCGCCCTGTTCACATAATCATCTGCCGTTGTGCTAACAGTCAAATAATGGGTTTATTATGTATTTTGATATTAGTTGATGACCTGTAATACGTGAATAAACAGGATAATAATTAAAAATATTAAATGATAAATATTATGTTTATGTAATTAATGTTCAATTAATGTTGTTAGTTACTAACCAAAGTGGCCAAACATTATGGTATTGCAAACACTAAATTACATAATTTATTTATGTCAATTACTCTTGATAGTTTGATGCTTATAAATGAAAATAACTTTATTATTATTGTCAAGAGTATATTGACGTTCATAGATTATAAAATTATTATGGATCGTTCAAAGGTTAATCAGTTAATTTTATTAATTTTGAACATGATCGTGGTCAATTAATTTACTTGGTCAGATGTGTTTTGTATATCCAAAGATATAATAGTATATTTAATTACCAATTAAGTGAAATTAAATTAGCATCATTATGTCTATTTATGATGGTATAACGTAGTATCACCCAAAGGAGAACTATGATATAAATTTATTGTTATCTGAATCTGGAATTAAGTATTTAAATATAAACTCAAAGCATTAATATTAGAGCATTTTATATTTTACAGTATCCCATTTCTTTGCATTCACATGCTTCATCTGTACCACCGTTCAATGGGCTCAATTTCTCTGACCGGTGTGAACAAGTCCAATTCAATTTAAGTTTTTTGGACTTGGACTTGGACTTGGCACTTCAAGTTGAGAAACCGGTTGATCTTACTAATGAGATCAATGCCGATGAAAGGTCTTTTCATAAGGCTTGGGAAATGTCTAACAGATTAAGCCTAATGTTTATGCAGATGATCTTAGCAAAGATATCAAATCAACTATCCCTAAAACTGAGATTGCTAAGGAATATATGAAGTTTGTGGAAGAACGTTCTCAAACAGCTGACAAATCACTTGTTGGCACATTAATGGATACCTTAACCACCATGAAATTTGATGGTTCTCGTACCATGCATGAGCATGTTATTGAAATGAGTAACATTGCAGCAAGATTTAAGACTCTTGGGATGACTGTGAATGAGAACTTTTTGGTACAATTTATCATCAACTCCTTGCCTCCCGAGTATGGTCCATTTCATATGAACTATAATACCTTAAAGAATAAATGGAATGTGAATGAATTGCACAGTATGCTCATGCAAGAGGAGACAAGGCTTAAGAATCAAGGAATCCATTCAGCTCATATCGTAAGTCATCAAGGAGCTGGAAAGAAATATAAGAAAAGATCTGGAAATGGCATTAATCAAGGACCACTAAAGATAAATGAGTCTTCTGCCCAAATCCAAAATAAGGAAAACAAGAAAGATACGTGTCATTTCTGTCGCAAACCTGCGCACCATAAAAAGGACTGCCCGAAACGTAAGGCATGGTTCGAAAGTAAATGTAAGATTATTTCTTATGTATGTTTCGAATCTAATTTGGCAGAAGTTCCTCATAATACATGGTGAATTGATTCCGAATGTACCACTCATGCTACTAATATGATGCAGAGATTCTTTTCAATCCAGACCATAAATCCAAATGAAAAGTTTGTCCTCATGGGAAATCAAGTCAAAGCTCCAGTTGAAGCCATTGGAACCTATCGTTTGATTTTAGATACTGGACATCATTTAGATTTATTTCAAACACTTTATGTACCTTCTATTTCTCGCAATTTAGTTTCTTTATCGAAACTTGATTCTGTTGATATTTATTTGATGGTGAAAATAGATGTTTAAACTTGTTTAACCAAAATCATCTTATCGATTCCGCTATTCTTTGTGATGGCTTATATAAATTAAAGCTTGATAAACTTTTTGCCGAGACTCTTTTGACCTTGCATCATAATGTTGTTACTAAACGCGGTTTATTGAATGAACAATCTGCTAACTTGTTGCATAAAAGTTTGAGTCACATATCTAAGGAAAGGATAGAAAGATTGGTAAAGAATAAAATTCTCCCTGACTTGGATTTTAGTGATCTTGGAACTTATGTGGATTGTATTAAAGGTAAACAAACCAAACACACAAAGAAAAGAGCCATAAGAAGCACACAGCTTTCTTGAGATAATACATACCGATATATGTGGGCCTTTTGATGTTCCATCCTTTGGTGGAGAAAAGTATTTTATCACATTTATTGATGATTTTTCACGTTATGGTTATGTCTATCTGCTCCATGAAAAGTCTCAAGATGGAAATACTTTAGAGATTTTTGTCGATGAAATTGAATGACAATTAGACAGAAAGGTAAAAATTATTAGATTTGATAGAGATGGTGAATATTATGGCAGGTATGATGAAATTGGACAACACCTTAATCCATTTGCTAAATTTATTGAAAGACATGACATATGTTCTCAATACACTATGTCAGGTACACCACGACAAAATGGTGTGGCTGAAAGGCGTAATCGTACTCTAATAGAAATAGTTAGATGTATGTTAAGCAATTCGTCTTTACCCATTTCTTTGTGGATGTTTTCATTAAAGACTGTTATGTATCTGCAAAATAGGGTTCCTAGAAAGACAGTTCGAAAAACTCCTTTTAAAATGTGGACAGGAAGAAAACCCAATTTAAGGCATCTGCATGTTTGGGATTGCCCAGTAGAAGTAAGAATTTATAATCAACATGAAAAGAAACTGGACTAAAAAACAATCAGTGGATTTTTCATTGGTTATCCAGAAAAATCAAAAGGGTATAGATTTTATTGTCCTAACCATAGTACTAGAATTGTTGAAACTGAAAATGCTAAGTTCATTGAGAATGGTAAGTTAGTGGGAGTTTGGAACCACGAAATGTGGAAATACGAGAAGTTAAAGAGTTCAAATTTCTCTACCCTCAACTCCTTCTAATGTTGTTCCTCAAATTGTTGAACGGCATGACAATTTACCTGAACAACAAATAAATGATCAAACATCCCACAATGAAATTGCCACTGATGAACCTACATTAAATGAACCACAAAAAATAGCATTAAGAAGGTTACAAAGATAACGTAGACCTGCTATTTCTGATGATTATGTGGTTTACCTACAAGAGTCTGAATTTGACTTGGGAATTGTTGATGATGATCCAATTTCATTTTCACAGGCTATTGAGAGCGCTAATTCTGATAAGTGGTAAGATGACTTGAAATCTATAAAACATAATGAAGTCTGAGATCTCGTCGAATTATCAGAATCATGTAAAAGAGTTGGGTGTAAATCGGTCTTTAAGATCAAGCGCGACTCTAATAATAATATCGAACGATATAAAGCTAGACTTGTCGCCAAAGGTTTTACTTAAAAAAGTGGCATTGATTATAAGAAGACATTTTCGCCAGTCTCTAAAAACGACTCACTCAGAATTATAATGGATTTAGTAGCTCATTATAACTTAGAGCTATATCAAATGGATATGAAAACCGCCTTTCTAAATGGAAATTTAGATGAAAAAGTTTATATGGTCAGCCTGAAGGTTTTTCAGTTGAAGGAAAGGAATACAGGGTGTGTAAGTTAAAGATATTAATATAAGGACTTAAACATGCTTCCCGTCAATGGTATCTTAAGTTCAACGATACCATTACTTCCTTTGGATTTAAGGAAAACATCGTTGATCGGTGTATATAACTAAAGGTCAGTGAGAGCAAGTTTATATTTTTTATTCTGTATGTTGATGACATTTTGCCAGCTACTAATAATTTTGGTCTATTACACGAGACTAAGAAATTTCTCTCTAAAAATTTTGAAATGAAAGACATGATAGAGGCAACCTATGTGATTGGAATTGAAATATTCTGTGATAGGTAACAAGGATTGTTAGGGTTGTCTTAAAAAGTATACATCAATAAAGTTTTAGAGAGATTTAAGATGAAAAATTGTCCAACAATTGTTGTTCCAATTCAGAAAGGAGACAAGTTTAGTCTCATGCAATGTTCTAAAAACGAATTGAAACGCAAAAAAATGACAGTTATTCTTTATGCATCTCTTGTTGGAAGCTTAATGTATGCACAAACTTGCACCAGGCCAGACATCAGTTTTGCTGTCGGAATGCTGGGCAAGTATCAAAATAACCTGGGACTTGATCATTGGAAAGTTGAAAAGAAAGTATTGAGATACTTGCAATGAACGAAAGATCACGTACTCACTTATAGGAGATCTGATAACTTGGAGGTCATTGGGTATTCAGATTCGGACTTTACTAGACGTGTGGATACTAGAAAGTCTACATTTGGCTTGCACCAGGCCAGACATCAGTTTTGCTGTCGGAATGCTGGGCAAGTATCAAAATAACCTGGGACTTGATCATTGGAAAGTTGCAAAGAAAGTATTGAGATACTTGCAATGAACGAAAGATCACGTACTCACTTATAGGAGATCTGATAACTTGGAGGTCATTGGGTATTCAGATTCGGACTTTACTAGACGTGTGGATACTAGAAAGTCTACATTTGACTATCTGTTCCTCTTGGCTGAAGGGGCTATATTATGAAAAGTGCGAAGCAGTCGGTCAATGCTGCATCCACTATGGAAGCCGAGTTTGTGGCATGTTGTAAGGCCATAGTTCAAGGATATTGATTGCGGAACTTTATTTCAGAGCTTGAAATTTTCGACAGCATAGCTAGGCAGTTGAAACTTTATTGTGACAATTCTACAGCGGTCTTCTTTTCAAAGAACGACAAGTACTATAAAGGTGCTAAATACATGGAACTGAAATACTTTGCCGTTAAAGAAGAAGTTCAAAAACAAAGGGTGTCAATTGAGCATATTAGCACAAATCTTATGATCGCAGATCCATTAACGAAATGATTGCCACCAAAGACATTTAATGAACATGTTGAAAGGATGGGCACTATTGAAAATATTATCATTGGTATTATTATGTAATTATGATGCTTATGTATTGATACTTTGAGCTCATTTACGTATTGTTTTTGACAAAATATTATTATTGTCATAACTGTTGGTACATGTACGTGAATGGATTATGTGAATGCTGATAGGGATAGTCTTTTCGAAGACATTACTGTAATACAATTACCGAACTTCTCATTATGTGTCAAGTTGGATAGGGACTAATATTTTAGTACATGGAAAGAATTATGTCGATATGATGCTGTAAAACCATCATGACTCTTATTAGTCTTTACTTAAGGGATGATATATTAAGTGGCCAATGTTTGATAGATTTTAGCTAATGATATGTGCATTATGTTATATACCACATAACAAAGCAAAATTACACGGGGCCAAGAGTGAGAATGTAAAACCAATTATTTTGTGGCCCATGTAATATTAAAGAATTAATTAAAAGTGGTTAATATTACTAAAATCCTATTGGCCCAATCGAGAAGTGGCAGTTTTATAACTGTCCACTTTGATGGAAAGTGTGGAGTTTTGTGGTCTATAGGAAACTAACTGCCTCTCTCTGCCTATAAACGTGAATAAAACTCATCAATTAATTCATTCAATTACAGAGAGGAAAAGTGAGAAAACGATTTCTTTAATTTAACAATTTCTTCTTGTAGATTTAATTACTATTGCCATGGATCTAGGTATGTTTCTTGATCAATTAATTTATATGTGAAAATCATGAATTCTAAAGACCTTGGCATTAGGGTTTAATTGCTTACATTCATCCCAGCTTTCCTTGTCCTTGTGTGTTACAGATGATCCTGCCGAAGCATCGCCAGCTGATATCCCAGAATTTTCTGTGTCTTGGTCAAATGTTCCGTATTGAGTAGGCGAAAAGGCATGAGGAATGGCCAATGAAACAGCCCTCCGTAAAGCAGCATTGTACTGTTCACTGTGTTCTCTGGCTAACGATTCCTGTCGTTCCATCCTCTGCTCTGGTGGAACCTGTAGACCATCATCTTTCTCCCGCATCAGCTGTAATCCATAAAAGAGCATTAGAGGGATTGAAGTTTTAAGCACTTACCGAAAAACATCCCGTTATATGTTTGAGGTCAAAAGGATCGAATAATTTTATGAAAAAAGAAAGATAAACTGCTATTATGTTAATAGCCATACAACGGGATCTATTGGAGATCATTTGTTAAATTGCCTTCAAGGCTTCAACTGTTGGTAGAAGAAACATTGACAGTCTTACTTCAAGAGCCCTTTCGGCTTCTCTCTCTATCCAAATGATGGCATGGTCAGAAGTGGCATTACAAGAGAGAACTATATGCTCAAATCTTCCATCCACTGGAACCGCTGTCTTCACAATTGGTGGGAATCTTCCACATCTATTTGCATAAACAGACATGGTAATCCAAATTGACTAATAATTGATATAATAAATAAAATTGCAAACCGCCCACATAATTTCTGGAATTATAGCATCCCCTTTTAGAGTCATATGTTGCAAAGTTGACAGAACTTTTGAGCAATGATTCGGGTCATTTATCAGAAAGTGATGAAGATAATAGGCCGAATTACAGGATGTAAATTAGCTACAAGTCCAAGTTTGTGCTCAGTGGGATTTATAACGGTGAAACAATTTTCTCCTTTTTGCTGTATCATTTAGTTGATTTGTTGGTCAAAATAATACTTGTTCCCCAAATTTAGTTCAAAAATATTAGCATGGCATAAGTGGATATTTTTTAAAAATAACTTCCTGCATACCTGAAAGGTTTGCGCTCAACAATGTGATAAAGGCGACCAGGGGAATATAACCTCCTTGGATCTTTGAGCTTCTTCGTCTCTGGTATGCAAGTATCTATCATGCATCTCAGGCACAGCAAGCATGGTAAACTGTCCATGAAGTAGACGCTTATATAAATAAGGGTCTTCAGTTTGCAGCAAAAGAGATTTAGCATTAAAAAGAACCCAACAAGTGCTTTACCAGAAAAGTGACTTGAAGATGTCCTCCAAGGGGGTCGCCGTTCGGGGCAAGAAATCATCCTGTATCAGTAAGGAAGTGGCTCGTTAAAATTCAGTAATGTGTTGCTTTATTACATGTTCCCATACATACATGTGGAAGCAAGAAGTTCCTGCAATATGTAAATGTATGATAATAAGAAAAAACACAGAGAGAAGAACATGGAAGAAAGTTACTTCTTTTCCATCCATTTGGAAGTGCTGCTGATAGTAACAAAATTACTTTCAATTAACACCGAAATAATTTGGTCATATGAAGTAACAATACAAACAACACATGAAAATTTGAGTAGCTCTACATTCTTATTTTCCTCCTCAACTATGAAAAGAATCCCTTCTGAATGCAAATTATCCTCGAATTTCAAACTGAAGTATGCGTTTTGACATAGGTAAGAGCAATATCAACTTGCTAGCTTATTTACAAGTGTAACTGAAGATTTTTTTTTTTTTTTTTTTTTTTTTTTTTTTTTTTTTTTTTTTTTTTTTTTTTTTTTTTTTTTTTTTTTTTTTTTTTTTTTTTTTTTTTTTTTTTTTTTTTTTTTTTTTTTTTTTTTTTTTTTTTTTTTTTTTTTTTTTTTTTTTTTTTTTTTTTTTTTTTTTTTTTTTTTTTTTTTTTTTTTTTTTTTTTTTTTTTTTTTTTTTTTTTTTTTTTTTTTTTTTTTTTTTTTTTTTTTTTTTTTTTTTTTTTTTTTTTTTTTTTTTTTTTTTTTTTTTTTTTTTTTTTTTTTTTTTTTTTTTTTTTTTTTTTTTTTTTTTTTTTTTTTTTTTTTTTTTTTTTTTTTTTTTTTTTTTTTGGTTTCCTGGAACATGTATTTATAATCAATGAATGTTCTCACATATCTGTTGATTGTATATACAGGATCTGGTCAATATTTTTAATCTTCTAGGTTATGCCAGCTAGAAAGAATTTGCCATGACAAGGTCGTTGAGTTAAATAGACAAGAGTCAAAATCAGACTACAAGGTGCTTGAAGCTGTTAGACTGCAAAAGCTGAAGGAAGATGGAAATCTGTTAAGAAAAAAGGATGGGACTTCTAAATTTTCTTTCTTTTGAACTGGCATGGCTTATCCAGCCTCTAGTAAAAAGGTCTTATATAAATCAAAGATGCACATTCCCCAACTGAATGAGCAGAACCAGACAAACTATGAGACCTGAAAATAAGTAGCATATAATTTGGATTATCTTCAAAGTTTTCTGATACCATATCAATTCATGTCATGTGAGTGTTCAGGCAACAATTAAACTAAATTTTACATTGTAGTCCAGTTTCAGCTCCTACATCATTCCAAGTAGCAACTGGAAAAACAGTATAGATGGAAATGAAAAATTCAATTGGAGAAATGCATATTTTTGAGGAACGGAACACCATTTTATAGATATTTATCCCAAAACTTCCGCCTATGCAAGCTCCATGTTCGAGAAAATAAAACACTGTGCTTTATAGATAAATTACATACAATTTGAAAATAAGGTCACGAAACCCACAAAATTAAGCAAAACAAAACATGCAAAAACTACATAAGAACTTACCTGAAGCACAACAGAATTGATGACATCAGCATATCTCACAGCCAAATTAAGCGACATACACCTGGCAGGTGCAATAGCAAAACACCTTATTCTCTTTCGGTCAATATTCCCCAACCCGTAACGATTTTGCACTAGCAGCATAGTCAATAATGCAGCCACGCCTGATCCTAAGGAATGTCCTGTAAAAGTCAATTTATAATTTGGATATTTTTCCACGAGTTCCTTCAGAATGTCATACTCGGAGTTGAACACGCACTCAGCTGCTTTCAACAGCCCATTGTGAACATAGCCCTCATCGAAGTTTCTTTTCTTGTTATCAAGCAAAAGGGCATAATCACTTTCCTTGGCCATATTAAGCCCCCTAATAGCAAGAACTATATCGGCATGATCATGATCAAGATAAATCAAGTATGGGGGGGCTTGTCCGTGTGTATCCTCATAAGTTCTTTTCATAATTAACCAATCTGGATTGATTCCATACCCTTGAGGAGGCTCCCAAAGAGGGTGTCTTAGATCATCCTCGTAAACAGCCAGTATGTATCGGCAGAGCCTCGGGACAGGTTCAAACTCTTCAGCTGTGGCAAGGTCCCAAGTCTCACTGTCATGACCTGCGGAGTATAGACACCTTTTCCATGCCCACCGTGCACACGCTAAGCAGTATACACACTCAAGAAGCGGAAGGCCACACAGAATTGACATTACCTCCTAATATCGAAGCATGATAACTTAAATGGAAGGAAATGTGAGATTTAACAGACTGTCTCGGAAGGGTAAACGAGAAAGGGATTCAAGATCAAAACACCCTAAAAAGAATTATCGATTTATTTATGCTATTTGGGATTGTTTTTCCAAGTACAGGATATGGATAACAATCCAACAGTTCATAAGAAGCGAATGCACGAATTGAAATAGGTAATTCAAGCGGTATACGAAAGTAAGGCAAATTAAATTGACGACTGGAAATTGGAAAATTCAAATATGGTTTTCTATCAATAGAAGATTACAAGGGGATACGTAAACCTCCAATAAAATCAATAAACGAACTGATAAGCTATTATAGGATTACCACCAAAAAGCTTCAGCGCACACAATATTCAACGACTAAACTTCCTTATTCCAGTTAAAAAGAGAGAGAAAAGCTAAAAGCATTTAATTAAGACAAGCTCTCAGAGAAATCAAAGATTCGATTAAATTTAAACTGATTACAGTACAGCGGTAGCAATAAACTGTAACTGGATTTCCACTTGCTGAGCATTGAACCTGAACGCGAAAAAACAATGATTTTCAACTATTCATATCGAGAGAAAAACAGCCAACGTATGGAATTCAATTCCGATACAGAGCAAGGAGAAATTTAAGCATCAAAACTGCAGAAGAATTAGAGCATGAAACAAGCAACAAATTGTGGAGTTCCGCAGTTGGGCGTACTAATAATTGCTGAGTGTTTCTGTACCTGAGAATAAAATTAAAAGAGAAATTATGATGAAGAAGAAAGTGAGACATTTTCCGGGGTAATAGAAGACAAGGTTTCTTACATCGGGTAGGGCAGTAATTATCTGACTTGTTTTACAGATGGTTCATCAGAAAGAAACGAAAAAAAAAGTCCAAAAATTATAGAAAACACTCTGAAATCAACTCAATATTATTTATAATGTAGAATGACCAAAATTAATCCATAAGTCGGGTTAAATAGCTACAAAATATAAAATTATAGAGAAATTATCAAAAATGGCAAAATCTCGAAATTACACCAGAATAAAATATTAAGTAAAAGAAATAGGTTGCCAAAAATTTGGCTCAGTTCGAGTTTTCTAACATATGAAAAAAAGGAAACGAAATATTACCATAAATAGCAAAAAATAACTAAAAATTGAATTTCGAAAAAGAAAACAGCGAATTTTGAGTTCAAAATTGACTCCCACCAAGCATAGCTGGGTGGCCATGACGTGCGCGCCGAAAAAAGCTTTCAGGATTGGGGTCATAATAACGATTCTGATAACCGTAACCAAAATTATGGCCAAATTACCAAAGACGTGTTAAATTCCCCCAATCAAAGAAATAATTGCGATTCACTTCCCACTTCCCATCTTTGCGCCGATCCACCATCTCATGGTACCTCATCGCCATCATCGTGCTATCTGACAAATCAGCATCACTCCGACCCGAATCCTCCTGTATCAGTTTCACCATTCACCAGATAGTTAATTCGTCTCAACTACAACTAACCTCAAATTTGAAAGGTATTTTTCATCTACCGTCACTGAACTTCCAGAAAAAGTTCGATTAGACCATTAAAATTTTAATTTATCATGAACTTCAAAGATTCATATATCATTAGCCCGCCTCGTATCGTATCCTAAAGTGATTAAAATTAATTAATTGATAATCATGCAATCAGAATACGATCGATGCTCATTTTCTTTTGTTTATAAAATAATAATACAATCATCGTACTTCTTTTTAAAACTTTTAGCTATTTATCTTGAGTTAGCCAGCTCCTTCAGGAGAGAATCCACTCTGCTAAGGATAGGATCTAGTTATCGTCTCTATCTTCAAGTAGTCCTGCTCTACCAACATTTAGCTAATAAGACCCGCATATTTCTTAATGAGCCAGTCAGACCCTATCAATTCACAGAAGGAAAGAAGAAGATAGCAAAAAATCTTCTACATAATTATTGCATAACATGCAAACTTATCAATATGCCATGTCATAAAAGTGTGATAAAAAAAGGAAAGGAACTTCATTTAACCAACGTAAAGATATTAATTATAACCCTATCACTACCATTTTGACAGCGCCACATGGAGAAAAATTTCGATGGGATGGTCGTAGCCTCAACTCATGGGTGAGGGTGGCCACCGATGAGGTGGTGGTTCTCCATTTGACGATCGCACTACGTAGGATGATATTGAAAGCTCAGGAATGACTAACTAAGCAGTGGGTAAATTGGTTTTTAAAAACTTTTTGAAAATTAATTCTAAATATAAATCAATATGATAGCAAACATGTCAATTAAACACAAATAAGGAAGTAAGTAATGACTGAATTGATAAATTCAAATAATAAGCACAAATATAAAAGCGATATGTAAAAAGGAGAAAGAATACAAACGATATGATTGAGAGGTTTGATTCAAAACAATGATCTACTTTCTTCATTACCAAGCTCTTCAGCACGAGCTATGTTGATTGACTTATGTTACAATCCAACTCTTTATAATGTTTCCAATGACTTACAAACAAGAAGCACCAATCATTTACAAAGTTGAGTTTTATGAGACCTCAACATGACTCATATTATTGAGCTTTACGGAACCTCAATATGATCCACACAGTGACTTACAACATAAAATATCGTTTCTTACACAATATTGAGCTTTTCGGAAACTCAACATGACCCACACTTTATCAAAGTGATTTTATAACCAAATCCTCTCTTGATAAATAATACAAATAAGTTTAATTACAAAGAGGGACTAACATTTCAATGAATAACAATAAATGGTAGCTCAAATATTAGATGAAATACTTTGATGGATATGATAATTAAAAATTAGATTCAATCAGTCAAAGTAATTTAATGAGAAGATGAAGAATAAATAAATTCAATATAAGTTATCTTCTCTCTCTTTTAATAAATGATTATAACAAATTAAGTACCAAGAAAGAGAGGATAAATTTTGATGAATAAAATGATTTGCAAGTTTAATTCAATCAATCGAAGTTTTCAATATGAAGTAGTAGAAATGATATAATATAAGTTCAAAACTTTTCTTCAAAATATTTCTCTCCTCTATGAATGATAGAAATAAGTTAAGTAAAAAATGAGAGATAAAAAACTTTGATGAATATAATAATTAAAGACTTTAGATTAATAAAAATTTTAATATGAAGAAATAAATATAATGAATGCAAAGGAAAGTCAAAAAATTTTTAAAACAAAAAATCTCACATTGATACACTGAAAAATCTTACGAAAAATGGAAAGGGTGTAGATATTTATAGAGTTTAAAAAAAAAATAAAAAAAAATCTGTATTTGAGGAAGACAAGTCCTATTGACCTCCTCTTGTCCGGAAGATCAACATAGCCATTTGTACAACAAAAATTAGAAGTCGGAATGGTCAAATTTCAGATCGTTAGAGGGGTCCGGTAAATAGCCTCTCTGGGCGGTTGACCGCCATTGTAGCACTATCTTTTTACATTTTGACCCCATTTATTTTGACTTGAAAGTTTTGAAGTGCATGGACCTTTAAAAAATATTTTTAACTAACTTTTTAATGATAAAAATGTTTTTTAAAGTCCAAATACTACTTTTAAAAGTCATTTTTATATTTGATCAAAACGTTGCATTGGAATAACTTTTAATGGACAAAAATTGTTTTTAATGCACATAAGGATTTTGAGCTTAGCCATTGATTGTCAAATATCAAAGTGTTAGTACCTTTACATTTTACCTAAGAAATCAAGTTTTTGATATTCCTCCTAAGTTTGGCTCTTAAATTCTTGAATGTGTGATTTCGATCTTGACCTCTTTCTTTGATGCTTTCTCTCGTGCTCTTGATATTTCTTCGTCTCGAATGATTTGAGTTGAGTACTTAGTGCTTAATTGATTTTAACATTGAGCTATCATTACTCAAAATAAATTATTATAAATAATATTAATCTTGTTTATTATGATCAAAATATTGATGATGAAATTAACCATGTTTCAACTGATGCGACTGCCCCATCAAAATTTTTCTCCACCACATGGTGATTATGTTTTGAAGGTGAGATATAATATAACTGACAAGTGATGGCTAAGGCTCCATTTGACAGATTTATAAATAGATCATAGAGAAGTATTGTAGTAAATTCGATAGACAAAAAGTAAGGATAAATGAAATTAATGATTGAAATGTGACGATAAGTGATAAGTGATATGAATTGTGAAAATTTAAATGAAAGATTGAACATTGAATCAACTCAACTTTTTAATGGAAGATCAGGAGTTAGTGCGAATTATGTGTGGATCAATTTTCATTCTTGTGCAAGGAAGGTAAATTATTTTCAATAATTTCTTCTATGGCAAACGAGGCATTAACTACCATCCCCCAACATTCTCGAACTTCTTCGACAAACGACGACGTTTATTGAAAATAAGAATCGAAATGACAATTCTACCCTAGTGAAATTTTTGGTATCTCAAACATCTTCTCATTCCCATTTTACTATAAGAGGTTCCACTTCCGTAAAACCCTAGTTCTGTGCTCGCCTCCGCCTCAGATTCCAGCATCAGATCTGACAGATCGAAGAAAAGGTAAAACCTGAATGAGCATGATTGAAACATACGACGCTTACGTAAATCCACTCGTTTGGTCTCGTATTTCTTTTAGTTTGTATGTATGTATGTATCTATATTTTTATCTCTGTACTTGTGAACATAATTCACGTGGGTTAGATTTAAAAACGCAGTTTGTTTTTAGTAAGAATCATTTCTGTGAAATATATCATCTTCTGGACGTATGTAAATGTTTAGGGGCAGCTCAGTTAATGGTATGATTTTTTGCTGGAATTTTTGAGAAAAAAAATGTTATTGTGCATAATTGTGTATGTTGTTGTCATATAGGTAATGTCTCCAAAGCAGCCACATACTGGCTTATTTGTCGGCCTGAACAAAGGCCATGTCGTGACCCCGAAGGAATTAGCTCCCCGCCCCTCGGCTAGGAAAGGGGTAAGTTTTATCTATGCCATTTTGGCTAGTTCATTTTGCTTTTTCTAAATGTCTTTTGGCTAGTTCAAGTAGATGAAGTTCCATATGAGTTAAAGCATGTTTGGCTGAATTTGAAGGGTTTATTTTATTTTTTATAGGTAATTAAGTTTTCAAAGTTTTAAAATAAATTTCTTTTACTGGTGAAAATTTGAAATGGGAAATTATCCAAACATGTACGGAGACATCGGTACTTCATCTGAGCTTAGCCAAACATGCTCTTGATTCAAATAATTCAAATTCTTATTATGGATCGTTTCTGTGTAAGATACTAGAAAAGGAAATGACGTATGGGCAGGGTATAAACCAAAGTCTGGGAAATTTAATTATAGGGTTATGTTGGCATACAAACAGTTGTTAACGACCGTATACCAAATGAGTTCTGTGAATACAGAGTACTTAACAAGTAGATTATTGTTTTAAGGTTTTCAGCTAAAATTTATAGTATCCAGTCTTATATTAGTTGATCGAAGATGCAACATGACATGTGGTTAAGATGTAACTTCTCATCCGCAATGTATGTGGTTTTTAATTCTATTTCCTTTTTTGTTATTGATGGACTCAGAAAACGAGCAAGAGAGTGCACTTTGCAAGGAGCCTTATCCGGGAAGTTGCTGGGTTTGCACCATATGAGAAGAGAATTACTGAGCTGCTTAAAGTTGGCAAGGACAAGCGTGCTTTGAAGGTAGCGAAGAGAAAGTTGGGCACCCACAAGAGGGCCAAGAAGAAGAGAGAAGAGATGTCTAGCGTTCTTCGGAAAATGAGGTAATCGTCTCAAATGACATTATTTCCTTTGAAATTCATCATCCTTCTATATATTTTTCATCTTTAAATTGAGAAATTTCAACAAGTATTTACTTGTAGTGGATTGAGAGGTATTCAATTTATTTCTGAGTTTCCAGCGTGGTCTTTAAAATGACTTGTTGAGACTTGATGGTTTCTAACTGCTATATCATTTGGTAAATTTATGTAGGGCTGCTGGAGGTGGAGAAAAGAAGAAGTGAAGTCTTGTTTCTTAGTCTCTCTGTTGTCAGAGTGAAAATCAAAAATTTGGGTGGTTGTGTTTGCTCTGGATTAGTTAATACTGTTTCATTTAGCTTTCAATCTATTTTGTTTTTTAGAACACAAAATTATTGTCAGAAATTGATTTTATGTTGGTATTATCACATCTTTGGTTATTTTATTAGTGAATTTTTTGTGCCCAACCTGTCTAAGTAGGCAAATTCCCAGTTTCCTCCTGATTTCATCTTGAGCTTGTTGGCTCTGGATAAGAGAATCAAAGACTGATGTGTGATCCCCAGCTTAGGTTATGAGTTTCTCTCATTTGAATCGTAATACTTGCTTTTGTTAGGGGTTATTCCGATAAACAGGATAGAAAATTTATATGGATGGGGACATGAGATGTTGTCATGTGTAGTGAAGTTAATCGCCACTAGCTAATTGTGAAGCTCGAGTGGTTTTTCATGTTGCAATTTGCAGAACCCCATTAGAGTGAGAACTAGTAATCTATCTAGTAATCCCCACTCCAGTCGCGAAACAGTGACAATGAATCTCATTTTACAACCATCTTAGCTTAAAGATCTTCAATTCCTCCAAGATACCTAGTCAGCAATAAATTTATGGTTGCTACAACTGTCTAATGCAATTTTTTCCTACTGCCCATTTTGGTAGATTCAAAATGTATAGGCACCAAAAAAACTGTCAAAAGCCCCTGGTTCAGACAGCCTGATCTTGTCTCAGTGGATGGCATAAAAATTTCTCATGGCTAAGAGTCACAAGTAAGGTTCTCTTGTTATATAAAACAGTGGGAAGTTTTTATCTTACTCACTAATGGTAGGAGATCAACTTCACTGGTTCAGATATGCAGTGCACAATTCCATGTATTGAAACCGTTGGTATAATCTCTTGACCCTTTCTTTTCAATTTCTACGAGTTGCTCAAACTTCCTTGACAGCTAAAGTAGCTTTTGAGCTTCACTCCATTCTCTTTAAAGGGCCAAATGCCTTCGATTTGGTGGCATCTTTTAGGCCTACTGCCCGCCTGGCCATTTTTGAGATCTCTTTTAACACAGCCTGTTGGATGATTTCGTTTATTGTATCTTTGGATTTCCCTTTCTTACCATTAAGCTTTTTCACCAAGTTCTCTGACCTTCCAATGGTTTCTTCAACCGAAAAAGTGCTCTCCTGCAGCTAACCATTTAAGACCCGTTTCTGCTTCCTCAATTAAACCATTGTCAATTCACGTTATGAATTTTTTATACAGACCCGTATGATGTTCAATACCGAAAATATTCATAGGTTCTTCATCAGTTAGACATATCTTTCAAAAAAATTTCGATGACGTAGTTCGCCATAATCTCATAATATGCAATGGGATGAAAAAAGCTTTTGAATCCATCACCTAAGAATGTCTAGGACTGTAAACCGACAAAAGTGAAACATCTTGTTCTTCAGTCACTGCATTAGCAATGTCTTTTTTCTTTTCTTTCTTCTTCTTTGGTACTCTGCAATTCTTCATCTGGCCAGTTTTCTCACAGTTTTAGCATACCACATTCTTTTCAGATTTAGACTTGCTTCTACCATTTCTCAACTTCCCAACGTTGCCTTTATTGAATTTTTTTTTTTTTTTTTAAAAAAAAAACCCCTTCCCCTATTCTCAATATTAAGAGCAGAACTCAATATTGTGACTTCTCCATAGTCTCTTCTACGAATTTCCTCAGCAAAGATAGTATCACCTGCGTCACAAAATTTCAGTTTTGCGTTTCTTTTTAGAGTTATTGACTGCAGCTCTTGTAGACTAATTTAATCTCAACTGAGACTAATTGATTGACAATTGTATTCATTTTATTGAAATGTTCTATTGCTGGAGCGCCTTCAGCTATCTTTAAATTAAATAATTTTTTCATCAGATGTACCTTGTTACACATAGATAGCTTCTTATACATATCGAACAATACCTTCATCAAATTTGTTGTCACGTTGTCACAACGTTCTTCGATAGTGTCAATCGAATAATCCTTAGTACCTAACGGTCAAGAAGTTTCCATTCATCATCCTTCATTCCTTTTGACTTATCATTCGAAAGAGGATGATGGAGTTTTTTTACTGCACAGATAATCCTCGATCTGCATCCTCCAAGATACAAAATTCATATCATCAAAACTTGCAGATCTCCAGCAACATTCCTTCTTTGCCAGTCATTACCCTCAATCAAAATCAAAAGCCATGATACTAATTGATGAGACTTAAAAACTCTAATTATATTTCACCGAGAGCAATTAATTTAAAGAAAGAAAAATAAATTCTTAAGAACATGCTAGATTTATACACCCTCTCTCTTCTCCACAATAATTCACTGTAATTGCATACCTATTTTCTCTAACCTCTCTTTATCTCTTTTTGATGATAATTATAAAGTTTAAGAACAATTTTCTATTTATAAGATAAATTAGGACAAAATTGAAATTTACAATGACTTCAATTCCGTAATACAATTTTACAAGAATATAAACTTTTAAACAATCCTTTATGAAATTTTGGTTTGCAAAGTAATAATAATTATGATTGACAATAATCGGGCCTAAAACTTAACATGGAGTTTTGAATTATTGAAATCAAGATATATGCATGAAAATAAGGTCAAATTATGAATTACTAATGCAAAGAAAATAGAGGAAGATGAAATGAAGTAAGTTTTGCGGTCGAGACAACGCTTCTTTTAATAGTAATATAACTCAATATTAATTTTACTAGACAAATCAAATTGTTAACAGTGTTGTTTACGAACTAAATAGACATGAACTCAAATTGTTCGAAAGAAATTTTTATTTTTGAAAATATTACAAATGTAATTTAATTTCAACAAAATAAAAACCACATAATACTTTGAATAGGGGAGAGAATTTATAAATTTTCATTTTTAAAAATTGATTTGGTATATGAAATATGGAATTAGGGATCCATATTTATAAATTTTTAAGTGTCTTTTTGGAATTGTTGATATAAATTAGCGTGATCATTAGATCACATATTTTCATATTTAATGGTCTAAATTAAACTGTATTAAATGATCACGACTCTTCATAACATATATTTTTTTTGAAATCACATCCAATCGGAAACAACACAACTCTTCGATATGTACCATTTGTGTTTGAAAAATTGTGACTAGTCATCGCACTAATTGCAGACTTTTTCAATTATCAGCTATAAAAATTATCCAGCAAATTCCAATAGAAGCACTTCGCTTTCTTGTAGATAACGCAGCAAAAGTGAGTCCAGCAACAAGAAGAACCCTGGCTGCTCGCAGTTGAGTAAGCTCTCGGAGCCGCCACCAGAGATCTCTGGCAAATGAGTGCTAATTTGAGCCGAAACAAGCTCGGACACCACAATGTCGTGGTAGCAAAGGCGATCATATTCCGAAATTTCCAAACTGGAAGCTCCAGGGAGATTACTGTAACAAATTAGAAGATTTCACAACAGCAATAGAAATTTTTTGAATTTTGATCGAGAAATTGAACAGCGTAGAGGGATAATTTACAGGGTTTTAGGAAATAAATTTACTTTTCCATTTCATAGGCTTAGCCAAACATGCTTTTGTTATGTATGTCCTAACTACTAATTGTTTCATATTAATTTGTTTTTTTACCAGATTTCAAAAATATTATTAATTATTTATTTATTTATTTTATCATTTCATCTACCAAAAAAGTTAAATCTAATTAGATTTTGATTTCATCTTGATCTTGTTGGCTCTGGATAAGAGAATCAAAGACTGATGTGTGATCCCCAGCTTAGGTTATGAGTTTCTCTCATTTGAATCGTAATACTTGCTTTTGTTAGGGGTTATTCCGATAAACAGGATAGAAAATTTATATGGATGGGGACATGAGATGTTGTCATGTGTAGTGAAGTTAATCGCCACTAGCTAATTGTGAAGCTCGAGTGGTTTTTCATGTTGCAATTTGCAGAACCCCATTAGAGTGAGAACTAGTAATCTATCTAGTAATCCCCACTCCAGTCGCGAAACAGTGACAATGAATCTCATTTTACAACCATCTTAGCTTAAAGATCTTCAATTCCTCCAAGATACCTAGTCAGCAATAAATTTATGGTTGCTACAACTGTCTAATGCAATTTTTTCCTACTGCCCATTTTGGTAGATGCAAAATGTATAGGCACCAAAAAAACTGTCAAAAGCCCCTGGTTCAGACAGCCTGATCTTGTCTCAGTGGATGGCATAAAAATTTCTCATGGCTAAGAGTCACAAGTAAGGTTCTCTTGTTATATAAAACAGTGGGAAGTTTTTATCTTACTCACTAATGGTAGGAGATCAACTTCACTGGTTCAGATATGCAGTGCACAATTCCATGTATTGAAACCGTTGGTATAATCTCTTGACCCTTTCTTTTCAATTTCTACGAGTTGCTCAAACTTCCTTGACAGCTAAAGTAGCTTTTGAGCTTCACTCCATTCTCTTTAAAGGGCCAAATGCCTTCGATTTGGTGGCATCTTTTAGGCCTACTGCCCGCCTGGCCATTTTTGAGATCTCTTTTAACACAGCCTGTTGGATGATTTCGTTTATTGTATCTTTGGATTTCCCTTTCTTACCATTAAGCTTTTTCACCAAGTTCTCTGACCTTCCAATGGTTTCTTCAACCGAAAAAGTGCTCTCCTGCAGCTAACCATTTAAGACCCGTTTCTGCTTCCTCAATTAAACCATTGTCAATTCACGTTATGAATTTTTTATACAGACCCGTATGATGTTTTTAAGCTGATATCACCAATACCGAAAATATTCATAGGTTCTTCATCAGTTAGACATATCTTTCAAAAAAATTTCGATGACGTAGTTCGCCATAATCTCATAATATGCAATGGGATGAAAAAAGCTTTTGAATCCATCACCTAAGAATGTCTAGGACTGTAAACCGACAAAAGTGAAACATCTTGTTCTTCAGTCACTGCATTAGCAATGTCTTTTTTCTTTTCTTTCTTCTTCTTTGGTACTCTGCAATTCTTCATCTGGCCAGTTTTCTCACAGTTTTAGCATACCACATTCTTTTCAGATTTAGACTTGCTTCTACCATTTCTCAACTTCCCAACGTTGCCTTTATTGAATTTTTTTTTTTTTTTTTAAAAAAAAAACCCCTTCCCCTATTCTCAATATTAAGAGCAGAACTCAATATTGTG